GGCTACCTCCCTTACTACAGCCCGTGTTCCAGACGATGGAGGGACGCCTGGCCCAAGCTGCGCCGAGTGGCCTGCCTTCCACGGGGAGGCCATGCCAGGCTGCGGCCCCAGGGGCATGTAGTGCGGCCAGCTGCCGGGCACCGCGAGGCTTGGGGAGCCCGGCGGCGCCTGGCCGGAGCGCGGCCGCCACCATCCTGGCTCGTCCTCGCCGTCGTCCTCCTCCTTCTCGGCGACCCCAACAGCCGCTGCTTATCTTGAGAAGCTCGAGAAAGGGGGAATCTAATTGCCATGTCCCTGCCTCCCTGGCTCGAAAGGCCGGCGTGTTGCTGCTTTAAGCAGACCAACGGTCATCTGGGTCCTCCTCCTTTTCGGCGGCCCCCCTGCCCGCTCGCCTCCCAACCCTCCCCAGCGTGCCCCAATGGCCAAATGGAACTTACGCCCAGTGCAGCCTCCGCCCCGACCATTTTATTCCGCGTCGCACCGCGCCCGCCCGCCCTCTCCCCGCCCCCCTTCCCACCCCTCCCCAGCCCCAGCAATCCAGTGGAACCTCCGCCCAATGCCGCCTCCGCCCCGACCATTATATTTCGTGTCGCACCGCGCCCCCCCTCCTCCTCTCCCCAGCGTTCCCCAGAGGCCCAGTGGAACCTCCGCGCAATGCCCCCTCCGCCTCGACTATCTAATTCCGCGTCGCACCGCGCGCGCCCACCCCCTGCCGGCCCCCCTCCCAACCCTCCCCAGCGTGCCCCAAAGGCCCAGTGGAACTTGCGCCCAGTGCCCCCTCCGCCCCGACCATTTTATTCCGCGTCGCACCGCGCCCGCCCGCCCTTTCCCTGCCCCCCTCCCGCCCCTCCCCAACCCCTGCGGTCCCATGGGACCTCCGCCCAGTGCCACCTCCGCCCCGACCATTTTATTATCTTGCGCAGCTGTGTTTTGGAGCTCGGACTTCTTTCTTTTCGTCGTCGCCGTCGTTCGTTCGTTCGTCGTTTGTCTTTGCCCATGGCCGTCCTGGCCTTGCCCTGGACCCAGCCCGCCCAGCTCCCCTCGCTCCCCCCATCTGGCCTCCCTAACCCACTCCCTCGAACCAGCCCCCCTCGCTCTCCCCCCCCTGGCCTCCCGTTCATCGTCCTTCCCCCCCCCCCCCCGGCCTCCCTATTTTCGTCGTCGTCGTCGTTCCTTCGTCGTTCGTCCTCCCCACTGGCCCCCCGTGGTCTTGCCCTGGACCCAGCCCTCCCCCTTGCCTTTGCCCCGGGCCCCGCCTCCTCGCCCTCCCCACCTGGCATCCCTGCCCCCTCCCCCTGGCCTCCCTGGCCCCTTGGCCTGGCCCTGGACCCAGCCCTCCCCCGTGCCCTTGCCCTGGACCCAGCCCCCCTCGCTCTCCCCCCTGGCCTCCCTGGCCCACTCGTTCGTCCTCTCCCCTGGCCCCCCTGGCCTTGCCCGCTGTGTTCTAGAGCTCGGACCTCTGTATTTTCGTTTGTCGTTCGTTCGTCCGCCCCCCCCGGCCACGGAAGGAAACTCCTGGAGGAAGAAGGCGAAAGCCTCCTGTCCCTCGCAGCTCCTTGGTGCAAGAGCCAGGGCATGCGTGCCACTTGTTTTCTCCTTTCAGTTTCAACGCCAGGCGCGGAATCTAACGCGAGTAGCGTGCACGCGGGAGCACGGCCCACCTGGACCATAATCTATGTATATATTTATTCTTCTCCTTCCTCCTCCTAAACCGACCTTTCTCTTTCACCAGAACGGGCTCGCAGCAGCTTTCGCAGCACTGCCGCCTGGGCAATAGAAGCTAAAATGCTGCTGTCCTTGGCGGCTTGTGCCCTGGCGCAAGTGAGGTTGCTGGGCCTCTCCTCTCCTTCCCTCTTCTGAAGCAGAACCCCTTCCTCTCTTGCTCCAGGCCCATCACCGCGCACTAGGCCAGTCACATAGAGGGCCTGGATGAGCGAGGCAAGCGACGCGCTCATGCACCAGGCTGTGCTCCCGTTTCAATCTTGGGAGTTTCTTGAGATTATTGCAAGTAGGCTTGTCCAACTTGACAGTCGTACCTGCTGCTCACTGGCACGCTGACGCAGCGCCCTCGTCGAATTAAGAGCAGCCTTCCCCCTTCCTTCTTTCCCTCCTTACAATCTCCTCCTCGCCCTCCTCCTCCTCCTCCACCACCATCACCACGTCCTCCTCCTCACTCATCCCGAACATGGTCCCCAGAAACGGACCTTTTCCCCACGACCAATTTTCCATCCCGAGCTGTTTTTTGATGGCCCGGGGGCATGGCGAGGGCCCCTGGAGGCCGAAAATGACAAAAAACCTTCCGCCGTGCTTTCTTCACGACGCGAGCCTGTCTGGGTCCTCCCCCCTCCTCCCCCTCCTCCTCCCCCTCCTCCTCCTCCTCCTCCTCCTCCTCCTCCTCCTCCTCCTCCTCCTCCTCCTCCTCCTCCTTCTCCTCCTCCTCCCCCCGCTGGCATGGCTCAAACGCAACAGTAAGGTTGATTCTTGGCGTTGGAGCTCCGAGAATGGTGTCTTGGCACGTTCAAGGATCTTCAAACGGTTGTCTCCCAACGGGGCACTTCGATCAGTGGAAATGAACCCTTGTATGGGGCCTACGAAGGAGGAGCTTGGAGGGAGGGTCCATTCCAACGTCGTTGCTGAATCTTGGGTTTGCACTGGTCCTCCTCCTCCTGCTCCTCCTCCTCCTCCTCCTCCTCCTCCTCCTCCTCCTCCTCTTCCTCCTCCCCCTCCCGGCCGCGAGCGCCTGGCCGGGACGTGGCCCCGCGTAGGGCGGCGCACCGCCCTGGTAATGCGGCCTGGTGCACATGTGGCCCATGGCGCTGGCCCGCCGGGGCCCGCCGGGGCCCCTCAAGGCGCCGCGGCCCCGGTCCTTCCGGGCTGCGGCGGCGCTCGGGCCGAAACGGCTGCGGCGGCGGAGGAGGAGGAGGAGGAGGAGGAGAAGGAGAAGGAGGAGGAGAAGGAGGAGGAGGAGGAGGAGGAGGAGGAGGAGGAGGAGGCGGAGGAGGAGGAGGAGGAGGAGGAGGAGGAGGAGGAAGAGGAGGTGGTCTTGATGAGCTCTTGAGGATCTCTGCCGGAATGTTTTTTTCAGTCCGTGCGTCTTTGCTTCGTTTGGGCCTCTGGGGGCCCCTTTCGGGCCCTGGGGCCATCAGCAAAGGACCCTGGGCGAAAAACTGCCCCCAGCGAGTCGGTCGGGATTTGTGGGGCCGCGGGATGGGTAGGCCCAGATCTCAGACGATGTGGTTTTTCAAACAGCCGTGCTGACTGTGGTCCTATTATCCCCCGCCTCCTCTCGTCGTGAAGAGAAGTCACGACGGACGGATTTTGGCAACCTTCGGCCCCCCGCGGGCCCGCACAGGGCCCCGGGACCGTGAGTGAAAGACGACTCGGGGTGAAACAATGAATTGTCCTGGGGAAGGGGTCAAGACCTCCAGGGGTCAAGGCAATAAAAAACGCGGCGTCGGAATTCTGGGGTGGTAAGAACTAGCTTCGGTGGAGGAGCGTGCGCCCAGAGACATCCTCAACATCATGAGGTGGTCGTGTCCTTCTCTCTTGAGGCGTCCTTATAACTCTGCGCTCCGAGATGGCCGGGATCGAGGTGGTCGAGCCCGTTTCGCCTGAGACATCCTAGCAAGCCTGGGCCAGGAGATGCCGCGTGAGAGGTGGACCAGCCCGCTTCGCCCGGATCTTCCTTGCGACTCTGGGCTCGAAGATGCCGCGCGCGAGGTGGTCGAGCCCGCTTCACCTGCAAAATCCTCGTAACTCTGGTCTCCGAAGATGCCGCGCGCGAGGTCTGGCCCGTCTCGCTCGAGCCATCCTCCCAACACTGGGCACATCCTAGCAACCTCTGAGATCTGAGATGCCGCGCGCGAGGTTGTCGCTGGCGACTCTGGGCTCGAAGATGCCGCGCGAGAGGTGGTCCAGTCCGTTTTGCCTGAGGTATCCTCGCAACTTGGGGCCCCGAGAATGCACGCGCGCGCGAGGTGGTCTGGCATACTGGGCCAGAGACATCCTCGCAGCTCTGGGCTCAGAGATGCCCTGATCTGAGGTTGTCCAGCTCGTTTCGCCTGAAACATCCTCGCATCTCTGGGCCCCGAGATTTCCGCACGAGAGGTGGTCCAGCCCTTTCCGCCTGAGACATTATCTCCAGCGAGAGGAGGTTGAGGAAGGTGGGGAGGAGAACCCGTATGACAAAGAGGGCGAGGGTACAACCCCCCCTCAAAAGTAGCCAATCCCTACCCTAACCTGACCCAGGCCCTGTCGAAACTGCGCCAAAGCTACCCTGACCCATTAAGGTTAACGTGGCCAACGGCTCGGCGGCACCAGTGTGTCATGCGCGCGCTGTAGCAAATGATGCAACATAATGGGGCAACACAGCAACATGCAATGCAAAAGTGCCAACTGTATCACTAATCCCTCTTCGTTTCCAATGTAGAATCTGGCTGGCACTGAAGCGAGAGCAGCTTTCGCGATCGTGGATGTGGCTGGCGCTATGGCAAGGGCAACGCTCTCAATCATGGATGTGGCTGGCGCTACGGCGAGATCAGCTTTCGCAATCGTGAATGTAGCTGGCGCTAAGGCGAAAGTAATTTTCGTAATCGCGGGTGAGGCCGGCGCTGAAGCGGCAGCAACATTTGCAATCCTGGATATGGCCAGCGCTAAGGCGAGAGCACCTTTCGCAATCGTAGATGTCGCCGGCGCTGAAGCGAGAGCAACATTTGCAATCGTGGATGCTGCCAGCGCCAAAGCGACAGCAACACTCGCAATCATGGATGTGGCCAGCGTTGAGGCGAGAGAATCCGTCGCAATCATGGATATGGCTGGCGCTGGGGCGACAGCAGCAGTCGTAGTCGTGGATGTGGCTGGCGCAGAAGCGAGAGTGACGCTCGCAATGACAGATGTGGCCGGCACTGGAGCGAGAGCAACGGTCGCAATCCTTGCGTTGACGTAGCCGGCGAAGATGCGAAATCAAAATTCGCAATCATGGATGTGGCCTGCGCTGCCAAGCATGGATGCGGCCTGGATTAAGGCCAACACAAAGTCGATATAGTGAATGTGGCCACTGGTGAGGCGAGAGCATCCGTCGCAATCGTGGGCGAGGTGTCCCACTGAACACGCGCACTGGCCCTAGCGCAACCAGCAGCGCCACTGAGACGAGCAGCGCCAGAAAGAGCAGCACCACGCGCAGCAGCAACAACACCAATGCCAACAACAGCAGAAATAGTCGTGCCAACACGACAGCAAACAGCACCACCACCACGCGCACCAGCACCAGCGACACTAGCAGCACCTGTATGACGACCACGACGGGTAATGGAGCAGCAGCACCACGCGACACAACACAAGCGCCACCAGCAGCAACATCGTGACCACAACTACAACAAACAGCAACGCCAAACGCAGCAGCACCAGCGTCACCTGCAACGCCACTATGACGAACACGACTGGGAGCAACAACGCCACGCGAAGCAACTTAAACGCAACCAGCAATGCCAGCGTGACCAGCACGACGAGAAGCATCAGTACTACACGCACCAACACACGTGCAAAGAACAGCACCGCCGTAACGTGCACGACAGGATCCAGCAACACGACACGTGCCGATACAAACACCACCAACAGCATCACTGTAATCAACATGACGAAAAGCAGCAACACCACGCGCAGCAACACAAACACCACCAGCAGTTCCACTAGAACGAGCACGACGGGAACTAAAATGGCCAGGCGATTCGCGCTGGAATGCGCGAGCGGCCCCACCCCTCCGCAGGCCAGACCAGCGGGGGGGAGGCGTTCACTCCAGCGCAAAGCGTCATGGCCCAAATCGTTCAATTTTGCGCTGGTGACCGGGGCGCCCCAAAGCAGAAATGCGCAATCCGTCCGCGCGAAGTTTTGCGAACCCCACCACGGGAGCAACTGCTGCTCGGCCCAAGCCCAGACGGCTGTCGCTCACAGGGAACGGGTTGCGCCAGCCGGGGCCTACATCAGCAGCGCTAACCAGGAGCGCCAGGGCAAGCGCGAGGACGGGGTAGTGACTCGTCGTGGGCCCGCCGTCAGCGCCCGCCGCCGCCTGGCCCGGACAGCAGCTCCAACGCTTAGCACCGGCGCCATGTCCAGCCATCAGCATGAGACGTGCAAGCACCACCGACGCCACCAGCAGTTCCACCAGAACAAGCGCGACGGGAACCAGCAGCACTGGGCGATTCGCGCTGGACTGCGCGAGCGTCCCCATCCCCCCGCCGGCGAGGCCGGCGAGGGGGGTAGCGCGATCGCCCCAGCGCAAAGCGTCACTGATGGGCCTGATTTCCACCACCACCACCATAAGTTGGAGGGGGAGGGAGTCCTCCTCCTCCTCCTCCTTCGCATCCTCCTCCTCCTCCTCCTCCTCCTTCCCCCCCTCCATCTTATGGTGGTGGTGGTGGAAAACAGGCCCATCAGTCACGGCCCAGATCGTTCGATTCTGCGCTGGGCACCGAGGGCGCCCCAGGGCACAGCCCACAGCCTGTCTTGCAGGAGCCGGCTGCTCGCCCCTCGCGCCGCAGTCCGCGCGGCCCGGCGGAGGTGCGCACGACGGCCCGCGCCGCGTCGGCCAGCAGCACGAGCGAAACGAGCAGTTCCACTGTGACCAGCCCGACAGGAAGCAGCATCGCCACCAGCAGCAGCAGCACAAGCGCCACCAGCAGCACAGCTGTGAGTCGCAAGACAAAGGCAGCAGCAAGAGTCCCAGCTGCAGTGCCAGACCACCAGGGCCTGTCGGAAGCAGCAGCACCACGCGCAGCATCAACGCCGCCAGCAGCAGCATCGCGAGCAACACCAGCGCCACCAGCAACGGAGCCACCTGCAGCATCACTGCGACGAGCACCGCGAGAAGCAGCAGCACGACGCGCAGAAGCTCCAGCAACCATTCACACCACCTTGACCCGCACACTGGGAGCCAACAGTACGACGCGCACCACCTCTAGTGCAACCAGAAGAACTACCGCGCACGGCAGCAACCAACACAAACACGCACAGCAGCACGGGCGACCCGAGCAGCTCCAGTATGACGAGCGCGACGGGGAGCAGAAACAACACACGAAGCAACATCAACGCCGCCAGTTCCGTTCGAGTCGGGCTTGTCCGTTGGAGCCATCAACGATGTTGGCATCAACCCTCCCCCCGAGTTCCCTCTTCATAGGCTCCTAAAAGGTTTCGTGTCCACTGAGGTAACTTCCTTGTTGGAAGACAACCGTTTGACGAACCTGAAGTATGCCAAAACGTTATTCTCGGGACGCCAGCGCCACGGATCAAATTGATAGTTGCGTCTTGACGATCCTGAATCGTGCTGGAACGTCATTCTTGGGACTTCAACACCGCGAACCAACCTAATTGGTGCACCCTGTATAATCCTGAATCTCTCCAAAACAAGTTCTGGTATGTTAACCATGGGCATCCGTGAAACTGCATCCGTAGGTGCAGGATCCTGGGAGGGCGCCAGGACAGTCGTGCGAGTCCACAGGGTACCCAGGAGTGGTGTCGCCGTCTTCTTGGTGGAGTCGTCGATCGTGTTAGTGCCATCCTGGGTCCCCTCGTCGAAAGACCCTCCCTGCTGCGGGCGCGACTGTGTATTACGTCATCCAGTTCTGCACGCGTCCTAGGATGCCATTGACAAGCCCAATGAGCTTGAGGCGGGTCGCAGCAGCATCAAGTGCACGAGCATCTCGGGCCATTCCCGATGGCATCTTCGGACTGGCGTCTGAAAGACCGTGAGTTCATCGCTGGTATGGAGCTGGAGCGTGGCGAGGCTGCGAAGACTGGCGAGTACCACTACGCCGCCTTCTTCAAGCACCGTGCCAGCACCAAGCCCTGTTGACAGCAACACCTTGCTCTTTACTGCCTGCGGAGTCGACTGGAACACATCCCGCATGAGCTGCGCCACAGCAGAAACTGAAGATGCACGTGCCACACTTGTGCCGAGCCTGTACTGTCAGCAGGTGACCAAGCGGCCGCGGAGCAGGCGCGAAACCTTTAGCTCTTGCGGGCGGCCACGGTTACGAGGAGGATGAGGAGGCGAACTGGAGGAGGAGAGAAGGAGGGAGGGAGGGAAGGACCCAAGAGGAGGGGGCCGGGGGGAAGAAGAGGAGCAGATCCAGTAGGAACTAAAGGAGGGGGATGGTGCAACGAACCGACGCTCAGTGGCCGTGCCCCCGCCCGGTCCTCGCGGAGGGCGGCGTAGTTGTTCTCCAGACCCTTGATGTCCTGAGCGGGGCCCCAGGCTGCCCGCGCTCTCCACGCCCTACTCCTCCACGCCCTCCTCCTCCACGCCCTCCTCCTCCTCCACGCCCTCCTCTTCACGCCGTCCGAGCCATCCTTCTTCTTTTTGCGTTGCACCGCCATTGATCAGGCATCGCCGCGACTGAACAGGCCACGTGAAAAAGCAATATGCCGACTAAGGCGCTGAAACATTGCCTTCGAAATAGACATCATGCTAAGCCTGCCGCAGTCGATGCCTGGTGTGAGGAAGGCAACCCGACAAGAAGGTAAAGTAGAAGGGCCCTTTAGGGCTTGGAGGAACAGAGCTACTGTGCATGCAGGAGTGTGATGGGAAAAGGACGTAGACTAGAAATTACATAATCATGATTCTAGAGGGAGGGCGGTCAACATATTGCGCAAAATGCGAGAAGCAACTGGTGTGAAAATGACGGTGTGCTAACCGGTAGTCCTCAGTGGGACACCTGTAGGTACGGCGTTCCCTGCCGAGGGCCAACATGGCCGCTGGCAGCAGGCGTGCAGGTAGCATCCCATGTGCCATGAACGGAACTCTGAAAAGAGCCACTCAGCACACAACCATTTTTCGAGTGCGGATGCTACTGCTGGATAGGGCTGGACTGGGCGCTGACTGGATGGCATGCAGTGTCGAACATGTTGGCGATACAAGTCTGCCTGGAACGCAAGGCGGTTATTCGCAACAAGATGCGTCGCCCCTAGTCGCCGTACGTGTGGAGAGCGCCCTGCCAGAATGTAGGCTGTGAGAACTGAAGGCGGATCTGCGACTCGGCTGTGCAAATCCTCCCCGCGATCCTCCTCCTGCTCTTCCCCGCGATCCTCTTCCTGCTCCTTCTCCTTTTCCTGATCCCCCTCCCCCTCCCCCCCTCCTCCTCCTCCTCCTCCTCCTCCTCCTCCTCCTCCTCCTCCTCCTCCTCCTCCTCCTCCTCCCGCTCCGCCTCCTCCTCCTCCTGCTGCTGCTCCTCCTCCTCCTCCTCCTCCTCCCGCTCTTCCTCCTCCTCACCCCCCTCCGCCACCTCCTCCTCCTCCTCCTCTTCCTCTTTCCCCTGCCCTCTTTGTCGTCGTCGCCGCCGCCATCGTCGTCGTCGTCGTCGTCGTCGTCGTCGTTGTCGCAATCGTCGTCGTTGTCCGTCTCTTCCTCCTCCCTGTCGTCCTGCTTCTCCTGCTCCTCCTCCCTCTCCCTCCACTTCTTCTTCCCCTTCCTTCTCCTCTTCCTCTGACTCCTCCCTCTCTCTCTATCCCCTTCCTCTTCCTCTTCCTCTTCCTCTTCCTCCTCCTCTTTCTCCTCCTCTTCCTCTTCCTCCTCCCTCTCCCTCCCCCTCCTCTTCCCCGCCCTCCTCCTCCTTCGCCCCCCAAGAGAGAGCCACGTGGGCCCACTGCGCAGCGCTGGCCAGCTCCAGCCGCGCCCCAAGACGGACCCCCCGAGAGAGAGAGCACCCAGGGGGGGGAGGCCCTGCCCTGGCACTGGGATTCGGTCGGGCATGTCCTCCTAAGGCGGAGTTTGGAAGGAACAAATAGCATAAGCGTATTCAACAATAGTCAAGCATAGGCGAAACATCGTCCCCGGACTTAAAACAACAACTATTTTTGAATCTTCCCCCTGCAGAAGGACATGCCCGCGGCGAAGCGCTGCCACCTGAGGCGTGGATGCCATTCAGGCGATGCGCGCAAACTCCCAATTCAGAAGTCTGAGTTGCCAGCTGCAACAATCAAGCAAGGACATGAACCCTTCATACTGGGAGTGGCCCGACGCGGTTCTTGAGACACAGGAGGCCCAACACGTGGCCTCCAATGCCGTCAAGAGGGCCTCAAAGAGCCCCCCAGAGGCGAGGGAGGATGGCACTTGCAGGCTGCGCGCCGATAGTAGTAATCATATTAATAATAATATTATTCATAATAACAAAAAGAATAGGAATACAAAAAGAAGAAGGGTAATTATAATAAGGAGAATAAGACTAATATTAATAATCCAAAAAAGAAGAATAAGAAGGAGGAGGCAGGACAAGGCAACGGCTGGGTGAGTGCACAAAGGTAAACATGGTGCACGACCGTGTGCCTTGCAGACGCACGCTGGCCTGAACGTGCACGGTCTTTCGGAGGAGGACAAGGTACCCATACCTCTACCCTTGCCTCGTTTTCCCTTTCTTGGGCCTCCTGGGCGGCCCTCGTCGCCACCGCTGGATTCGCCTCGACATTCTGGTCAGAACGCACCCTGGCAGAGTTTCGGCGAGTAGCGGTATTGGTACCTTTTGGCTTCCCCCATCTTGTTCTCTGGGTGACCGCCGGCCGGCGAGAGCTCCCGCTGCATCAAGAGGATCCGCGGTGCGGTGACAGACAGTGGCCTGAACGCAGGGCTGTACCCAGCCTCCGGGCAAGACGTCAACACGCAACGAGAAAGCGCAGGGACGGGGGTGACTGCAGCCGACTGCAGAAGCACCGCGACTCCGGCGGGGCAAGCGGGGGAACCGGAGGAGTTACGCTACGTTTGTAGAATATGCGCCCGTGCAGTAGACGGCGAGGCTGGGGGAGTGGAGAATAGTCCCGATCGAGCGCGCGCACCTGCGAATAGCGCTGGTCCGCCCACACAGTCAGGGCGGAACCCGCAGACACGGCGGAACAAGAGGCGGGCCGCCTCCCGCCGCCGCGCTGCCCGTCGCCACCAGCGTCTGTGAACACGAACGAGCGAAGAACCAATCGAAGTGACTGCACGAAAGAACCTTTGCGAGACGACAGGGTCCAAGTGGTCACATCGTTTTCTGATCCATCATGTTTCAGCGCGCGTGCCTGGTTCTTTCGATTGATTTCGACCCGCTGCAGATCGGTTCGATCCATTTCGGTCTGGTCCGGGTCGTTCTGACTGCACGAAAGAACTGGAACGACCCGGACCAGACCGAAATGGATCGAACCGATCTGCAGCGGGTCGAAATCAATCGAAAGCACCAGGCACGCGCGCTGCAACGTGATGGATCAGAAAACGAGGTGACCGCTTGGACCCTGTCGTCTCGCAAAGGTTCTCGGAAAGATCGGAGAAAGAACCCACATGTAAACATAAACTTTCGGAGATTCGTGCGGATTTCCTAGATCGTCCTCCTCCCTGGCGCGCGGAGCCCGCCAGGTGGGCCCTCCGTCGAATCCAACAAATCCGCCCAGAGCTCCGAAAGCTTCGCATCGAATCGCATCAAATCGCAACGGCTCTAGGAGAGAGTGTCGACCGAGCCGAGAGATTTAAATCCATTCTCGCAGCTGCGCGTCCTGCTCCAACTCCCTGTGCAAGATCTTCGGCACCGCCTGTTTTCTGAGCCCTCCAGCCGCCTGAGGCCCCGCCCGCCCGCGCCCTGCCTCCCCAATTAGGGCTACCCGCGTCCCGTTTAGCTCTTGACCGGAAGGGGCCCGCTCCCGACGCGCAGACCAAAAAAGTCCTGTTCCAGCTGCTGCTTCACCACGTTCAGCTGCTGCAGCGACGCCTCGCCGCCCCCGGCCCTGCTGCTGCCGCCGTCCTCATCACCAACACTGCACGTTCCCTTGAACCCTGGCGCTCCTGAATCTCACCGTTGCTCCCCCAGTGCGCTCCCAGGCGCTGTTGCGCCCGCGCAGGCTGCTCCAGATTTCGTAATAAAAGGGAGGGGGTCTGGACCCTCCAAGTCAAGCCGTTTCAGACCTCCCCCGTGGGAGAACCCTCCAACACATCGTCCCCAGACCCCCCAGGCCCTCCAGGATAGCCTGGAAGAGACCCCCCCCCCCCGAGATGAGACCCCCCTCCCTTTATTACGAAATCTGGAATACATTTCCTCTGAAAGGAGGAGGAGGAGGAGGAGGAGGAGGAGGGAGGAGGAGGAGGAGGAGGGGGAGGGGAGGGGGAGGGGGAGGGGAGGGGGAGGAGCGGGGCTCACGCTCAAGCGATCTGGGGGTGCGCCGGGACCGCCGCCCCCCCGGGTGACAGTCCTTTTGCGTCTGTTTGCCCTTCGCTGCTCGCGCACATGCCCGCACGCTTCGTCTGTGACTGTGCCCCCCCCCCCCCGTTTCGGGGTGAGTCTTCCCTGCCTGCCACAGGTAGTTGGCGCGGTTCTAAAATATAAAACGACGCGAAGATCGGGACAAAATCGGATCGGGATAACTCGAAATCTCAGAGAATCGGCGGGTTTGGAGGATGTATTGGGCGCCGCGGCCGCTCCAGAGCGTTCCGGAACGCTCTGAGAGCGCTCCGGAACGCTCTGGAGCGATTTATCCCGATCCTAGCCCTGTTTTAAAATATGAGGAGGATGGATAAGGAAAAGGGAGAGAGCGAAGACAGACGGAGGCAACAAGAAGGAAGAGCGGCAAGAAGATGGAAGGATGATTGAGGGCGAAGAAGATTTATCAATGGGTTGGATAAAGAAACGCAGATTTTGGCAAGCGGACCCTGACGGGAAGGCTGGCCCAAAACGGCGGGTCGGGCGGGCGGGGACCCTAACAAGCTTGTCGGGCGGGCGGAGTATCAAAACGGGCGGGCGGGCTTCCAAACACGGGAAAGATGGGACACTGACGGGCAGGTTGGGCGGGAGGACCCTAACGGGCGGGTCGGGCGGGCGGGCCCTAGAGGGCGTGTCGGGCGGGCGGACCCTGACGGGTGAGTCGGGTGGGACATTGAGGCGGGCGGACGGGCCATCCTGGAGGTCTCCTGGGGCCATCATGACCATAATGAGAATGTAGGGGCAGGTGAGGCCCGGGGGGGGGGGGCGATGAGCGAATGAACGAACGACGAAAAGAAATATCCAAGATCTAGAGCACACGTGTGCAAGGTAATCAACCCCCCTAAAAGGGGAAGCTATCTGGTGAATGCATGCTGCATATGGAATCACCAAGCATTCTAGTACAATGATTGAATTCTCAGGTCTAAGGAACAACTATTGTTGACCCTCCCCCTCCAGTGCACATTGTGCTCTTTCAACCCTCTGGGGGCTCGCTCCCTGTTTTTTTGGTTTCTTCTGTTCTTGTTTTATGTCTTTTAAGGAGAATCTTGAAGCTCAGACTGCGTCGTTGGACCCAAAGCTACAACAACGGCTTCCGCCTGATACCTCTTTACAATGTATTCAAAATTGTGTTCTCGCGCGGGATTTTCTGACAGCTGATTCAAGCTTTGCGCTCTCGCGTGGGACCTCCTCTACATTAGTTCAGACGCCGCGCCCTCGACGCTCAGGAATCACGCTCTCCGGAGGACCCAGGCTATCGTTCAAGATCTCTCGCGATTAACGCAGACTGACGCTTGAGCGGTCCGCCCGCTCGATCCGGCCGTCTGGGACCGCAAGCCCGATTGTGCCCAATCTGGTGCCCATTGTGTTTTTAACTGAAGTGCACCTCGCATGGCCCGCACCCTGTTTGTTACCGTCTTGGGGCTCAGATGGGGTTGCTGGCTCCCGAACTACAGCAACAACAACGAAACAACGTTTTCCGCCTGGGACTTCCTGTTTGGACACCCGAGATGGGCACGGAAAGAATGGGCACTATGCCCAACAACAAATGTTGTCCCAAGCCAACAGCGGCCGCTGTTGGGCAGGCGGCCTTCTGTCTCGAATGGACACAGGCCGCGGCGGCGTGGACAGCGAATCCTGTTGAAAATGAATAGGAACTGTTGTTGGGCATCGTGCCCATTCTTTCAGTACCCATTTCGGGCGTCCAAATCCTGGCAATCAATCCGCCGACCCCTTGGGGTCATCGGCGTGTGAGATGCTTCCCCCCTCCCCAAACCCCTCCCCCCGGAGCCTGGTCCGGTCGTTTTGGAGGGGGGGGGGGGGGGGTCCGGCCGGATTCCCCGGGATCCGCCGGCGCGGTCCGGGGGGGGTCATCCGCTCCAGAGAGTCTGCTGGGGGGGCCGCAAACGAGCGAAGAGGCTCCCAAGAAGCTCTGCAGACGGTCCAAGAGGGCCCCGAGTCGCCGAAAAAACACTCGAAGACGGTCAAGATGGCCTCCAGATGGCCCCAGATGCCTCCAAGACGCCCCAAGAAGCTTCCAAGACGCCTCCCAAGATGGCCCCAAGAGGCCAAAATCGTCGATTTCCATTGGTTTTTTCAACGTTTTTGGCCTTCGCGTTTTTTCGGGCTTCCGACGCTCCAAGACGGCGAAAGAAGCCCCCAAGACGGCATCAAGACGACCCGAGAGGCTCCCAAGTGGGCCCCAACACGGCCCAAGAGGTCCCCAAGACGGCCCAAGAGGGCTCCAAGACGGCACCACGAGGGGCCCAAGAGGGCGACCAAACATGTTGAAACTCTAGCTTTCTGCCCCCAGGAGCCCCAGGGGGCCCCAAGAGTGCCCCAAGAGGCCCCCAGAGGCCCTCACGAGGCCGCCCAGACGCCCCAAGGAACCCCCAAGAAGCACCCCAGAGGCTCCGAAACGGCCCCCGAGTGGCTCCAAAACTCGCAGTGTCGCTGTCCGCTCGGACCTCCCCGCGGAACTGCCCGAGACCCTCTGGCGGTGGCGGCGAACAGACACCAAACAAATATCACTCGCCTTTTCACCCCTTCGCAGCTTCTACTACCCCCAGATTGGCATAAACAAGGGGTCGGCGGTGTGGCGTAAGCCTAAGAATTCAGCATCGCGCTCTCACCCGGGACTTCCTCACAATTCATCCAAGATTCGCGCTCTCGCGTGGGACTTCATCATCGCACATTACTGAAACGCCGCGCCGACGACACTCAATGATCACGCTCTCTCTCTGGACTTCCTAAAGATTTACTTGGGACTCGCGCTATCGCTCGAGACTTCGTCGCGATTCATGCGGACTGACGCTTCAGCGACCCGCCCGCTCGACTCAGCCATCTGGGCCCGCCCGCCCAACCCGCCCGTCAGGGTCCGCCCGCCCGACCGGCCCATCTGGTTCTGCCGCTTGATTTCCTTCTCCCGCCCCCCCTCCTGCTAGTCTCTCTCGTGCTCCATCCTTCTCCGTCCCCATTGTCCCTTCCCTGCTATCTCCCTTCCTGGCAGGTAAGAAGATATTCCCCCAAGAGGGGTGCGATCGAAGACGCAGAGGGTCAGTATCGAATGTTTGGGACTCACATGTTGAACGACACGCGAGTAAACAATACTTTTCCGACGCAGCGAGCCCCAAGCTCCAGAAGCCAGACGCTGGAAAGTCCAATCGGCAAGAACCCCACTTCCACTCCACGGAGCTATACTTTCGAGAAGGGGAAACAAAGAGAGCGGGTTGGATGGACGGAAGCACCACAAGCAGGGAGAGGGAAGCAGGAGGCAGGCAAAAAAGAGAGGAAGAGGCGAGAGCAGCAAGGAGAGAGGCAGGAAAGCGAGTGATAGAGGAGGCAGCACAGGAAGGATGGAAGGAAGGAGCGCACGGCACGCAGCGCGCAGCGGCACGAGGACGGGAAATAAGTGAGCTGTTGGCCGAATGAGATCCGGACGCGGTATGCAACAGCGAGGACCACCTGCCCCGCAGGCGAACGCATCGGCATCCAGAGGCGGCTCAAGCCAACATAACTAGACGATCCATGCAATCGCACGGCGAGAAGGAAGAGAGAAGACGGCAAGCTAGGCAGCGCGCAAATCAAGGCAAGTACGCGGATGATGTTGAAGGGCAGCGGCTCCGCTGCGATTGGCGCCGGCTCCGCCCAGAAAGGAACGGAAACGGCCCCACAGGGGGGAGCCAACGCCCTCATGCACGCCGGGGCCAGGCACAAATCCTGGCGCGTGCGCTCGCCTCGCACGGCCCTGGGGGGTGGGGAGGAGGAGGCCTCCCCCAGGAACGAGGGTGCGGACCCGACCCATCTGCCTCGCAGCGCGGGCCTCTTCGAATCCACGCCGGTCGGGCACGTGGGAAAGCACGCCCCCCGTCACCCCCCCTGGGCGGGTCGGGCGGGCCAGCGACAGCACGCCGTCACTTTGGACCAGAGGAGGAGGCCCCATGGGGCCAGCGAGCGCAGCAGGCCACGCTGGGCCGCAACGAAGCCACCGTGGGCCGAACAAAGCCCCCGCGGGCGGTGGGTCGAAGCCCGAGACCGACCGAGGAGGAGGAGGGGGAGGAGGAGGAGAAGGAGGAGGAGGAGGAGGAGGAGGAGGAGGAGGAGGAGGAGGAGGTGGAGGAGGAGGAGGAGGGGGAGGAGGAGCTCGGAGCAAGGCGAGTTGAGGCCCTGGCAGCTCCAGATTTCTGCCCGGACCCCTCCCAGGGTCCAGACGCACCGGCTTTCCGAGCTGCGCCCGGGCGTGGCGGCGAGGGGGCCCCTACGAAGTCCAGCTGCCCTTGTCTCCACCGCCAGCCACACGCAGGAGCGACCCCAGGCAAGGGTGGCCCCTGCTGCGCGGCCCAGACGAGGGCCTCGTGGGGACACCGCCAGGCGCGCAAGCCGCTGCTGCCGCATCGCACTCAGCGATCGGGGGGCTCCCTTGGGGCCCGCTACTACTACTACTACTACTACTACTACTACTACTACTACTACTACTACTACTACTACTACTACTACTACTACTACTACTACTACTACTACTACTACTACTACTACTACTACTACTACTACTACTACTACTACTACTACTACTACTACTACTACTACTACTACTACTACTACTACTACTACTACTACTACTACTACTACTACTACTACTACTACTACTACTACTACTACTACTACTACTACTACTACTACTACTACTACTACTACTACTACTACTACTACTACTACTACTACTACTACTACTACTGGCGGTCTCGTGCACCACATCACCACGGCTCAACCACCTAGGGAAGAGCGTCCTTGTGGCTGCCTCATTGCCAGTATGTAGCGCGCACCTCTTCTGGGTGAAAGGGCGGGTCTGACATGCTTGCAACGTCAGGCGCTCGCACCGTGGGCAGTTGGACTAACAGCCCAGAGTGAAGCGCCAGCAACGGCACAGCAGCACACGGGGCGACCCCAGTACCGCCACCCAGGCCGACTAGCGCGAGAAGACGCGAGGCAAGGCCTGGATGGCAAGAGCCAAGAGGGGGTCTGACTACTACTACTACTACTACTACTACTACTACTACTACTACTACTACTACTACTACTACTACTACTACTACTACTACTACTACTACTACTACTACTACTACTACTACTACTACTACTACTACTTCTACTACTACTACTACTACTACTACTACTACTACTACTACTACTACTACTACTACTACTACTACTACTACTACTACTACTACTACTACTACTACTACTACTCCTATTCCTACTCTTACTCCTCCTCCTGCTCCTCTCTCTCTCTCTCTCTCTCCTATCGTTCCTATCTCTCCTCTCTCTCTGGCGCGCGGCCACTCTGACGTGTGGCTGGATCTGGCCCTCCTCTGCAGCTCGGGTGCGCTCCGCCTGGGCCAGCGGGACGGACTCCTGCTCCTCCGGCGCCTCCTCGCTCATGGCCTGGCGCGCGGGCCGCGCGCAGTACGTGTGGCAAGGCTTTCGGGCGCCCGATGGGGGGAGAGGCTTCTGCAAGGCACGCTGGGGGGCCCCAGGATCTGGAGGCATGGCTCTGGGGAGCTGGAGGCCAGCCCCAGTCGGGGCTTCCGGAAAGCGCGGTGCGGTGGGGACGGGGCTGGCCAGGGAGTGGGGGATCACACGGGGCGATCGCGCAGTCGAGCAGGACAGACAGACCTAGAGCTCACGCTCTCATGGAGCAGACAAATCGCAACCCTGCTCATCCCAATGGCCGTGCCGATCGAGAGATGATCGCCATGGGTTCGGCCGGCCACGCAGCTGGGTCCAGCTCACCGCGCATGCGAGGTCATGTGGGGAACAATAATGTGCCCGAGATGCCCCCCCAAAAGAGTTGGCAACAGGTTCCAGTGCCCCTCCCTCTACTCTCCTCTCTCCTCCCTCCTCCCTCGACTCCCTCTCGTCCCCCCTCCCTCCCCTCTCTTTCCTTCCACATATCAGACTCCCTCCTTCTCTTTGGGTGGTGATCCTAGCACACCGTGTGTCGCCCCCCCCCCCCCCCCCCCTTCACACCAGTAAGCAAATTAGTCTTGTTGGCGCCACCCGCGAAGATATCCTCGGCCGATTGGTCGAGTGGCCCCTCCTGAGCAAGCTAGGCACCCGTGGGCGGCATGACTGGCCCTTCTTTGTGCCAGGATTGGGCGGCTTGCCCGCTCGATGCTCTTTGTATTCAGACCTCGCTTCTTCCTGGAGTGTCGGCAACCAGGGGGCGGGGCCCACAAGTGGTGAGGCCGTGCATAGCCTCTTCTTCTCCAGGGCGCCTCATCCGTTCTTCTGTCAAGCCTCCTCCCTCCCCTTCCAGGTCTGAAATCCCAGGTGCATAGACTCACTGGGTTGCCGAAAATTGAATACCTCCGCTCCTCCAGATTGGCCCGCAGCCCTAGGATAGCTCTTCATGATGGCTGGGTGGAATGCTCGCTAGGCCGTCCTGACCTACTTGTCAAACCTGACCGGACAAGAACGGGAAGCGATGCGCCGTTTTTGTCCACCCAGCGTGTCAGAGAACGCATGGTGGAGAACGCCAACGCCGACCCATGAAACATACAGGTGCTGTGAAGCTTGTGTCTTTGTGGTGATCCTTTTGGAGCCGTGCTGGAGTGAAGACTTTGGTAGGACATACTGAAGTGTAGCCAAAAAGCTGTGCGACAATCAATGAGTGTTGCATTTCTGGGCGCCCCTGGGGACCCTTTTGGGCCGTCTTGGGCCTCTCTCGGGGCGGGGTGCAGCTCGGAGCCCATAAGCGGAGAAAAGTGGATTCATAAGAACGGTGCACGCCAGAGGCGCTTCCCGTCATCAGCCGTCCTGGGCACATGATGGACTTCGCGTGCCGTCTAAGGCTCTTGGGGCTCTTTTGCAGTCTCTGGTGCCCTCTGAGCAGCCTGTTGAAGGCCTGTTGGGAGCCCGTTAGGAACCTTTTGGGAGCCTCTTGGGGGCTTCTGTGACCCTCTTGGACTGCTTTGGGGCTCTCTTGGGCAGTCTCAGGGCCTCTTCGTGTGCTCTCGGAGGCGTGTGGGTGCCTCTTGGGAGCTTCTTGGGGGTCTCTTGGGGCGCTTTGGGGGTCCCCTGGGGGGCCTTCGGGGGCTCTCTGGGGCCGTTTTGAAGCCCTCCGGTAGCGATTCCAAGATAATGCTAGTTCGGAGTCCCCTCTGGAGGCGATTTTTTGAGGATGTCTCGAGCGAAACGGCTGTTTTGAGCAGAACGTTATCTTGGACTGTCGTGGGGCTCTGGGGGCCTGATTGGGGCCCGTGGGGAGCATTTTGGGAGCCTCTTGGAGACTTCTGTGACCCTCTTGGACTGTCCAGGCGTCTCTCGAGGGTCTCTGGGGGCTCTCTTGGGCTGTCTTGGCGTTATCTTGGAGCGTCTTGGGGCTCTCTTGGCCAGTCCTGGGGCCCCTTCGCGCGCGTTCGGGGGGGCCTCTGGGCGCCTCTTCGGGGCCTCTGGGCGCCTCTTGGGTGCCTCTTGGGTGCCTCTTGGGGGTCTCTTGGGCCGTTTTGGGGGTCCCCTGGGGGGCCTTTGGGGGCTCTCTTGGGCCGTTTTGAAGCTCTCCGGGAGCGACTCCAAGACAATGCCAGTTCGGAGTCCCCTCCGGAGCCGATTTTTCGAGGATGTCTCGAGCGAAACGGCCATTTTTCCCGAACCTTTCTGGACAAGAACGGGAAGCGCCGCTTCTCTGAGCTTGCGTGCGCACGCGCAGTGCTTTGCACACAACGTGGAATGTGTGCACATGGGGTTGGTCGTCGCTGGGCTTCCCTAAACGCCCAGATGGTTGCCATGAGTAGCTTGTGTTGAGTGGTTGCCTCTGGTTGGGTTGGTCAGGTGCTGCGCGTGGCCTGTATGCGTGTGTGCGTGCGTGTGCTTGTGTGTGTGTGTGTGCAGGTGCGTGTGCGGCTGCGTGCGTATGTGTGCCTGCGTGAGAGCGTGTATGCAGTATGTGTTCTGGTGGGGGCGGGACGGGGGGGTGTGCGGTGTGCGTGCCGGGTGTGTGCTGGGCGGGCGGGCGGGGGGGGGGGAGTACGGTGGGCGTCCGTTTTAAACCGCATGGCCGTTTGAACGTGATGACGCTAACGAGGATGATGACAATGTGATGATGATGCCGACGATGATGATAATAGTGGTGATGACGAGGATGATGATGAATGATGATGATGATGATGATGATGATGATGATGATGATGATGATGATGATGATGATGATGATACTGATACTGATAATGATGATGATGATGATGATGATGATGATGATGATGATGCTGGTGATGATGATGATGATGATGATGATGATGATGATGATGATGATGATGATGATGATGATGATGATGATGATGATGATGATGATGATGATAGGGTATCTTGGACCGTCTTGGAGCATTCTTGGACAGTCTTGGAGCCCTCTTGAGCTCTTCTCGGACCGACTCGTTTCGCAAACTCCCTGGATATCACCGTTTTTCGAGGATGTCGCGAGCGAGAGCCCCATTTTGAACTGAAGACGTCTCGAAGCAGCTCGTCCACTATCACATTTTTCGAGGATGTCTCGAGCGAGAGCCTCATTTTTAAGATGTCGACGAATTCGCGAGATCCTTGGAGATCTCACTTTTTCGAAGATGTCTCGAGCGGGAGCCTCACTTTTGACGTAAAGCGTCTTAAAACAAGTCCTTCAAGATCCCACTTTTTATAGGATGTCTCGAACGAAACGGCCATAAAGGGGGGAATCCGCCATTCGATCGACCCCGCCCGACCCCGAGCCCGTGGTCCCTCGCGTCTCTGTTCTTTATTAACTCGTAGGAAGCATGGCCTAAGAAACTCCCACCACCTTCTCGTTCCGAGAAGGCGCTTCCCGTCATTCGCCAGCGAGGTGCCGCATGGAATCCGTAGCCCTTAGTTAGAAAAAATGAAGCCCCAGAACCAACGGTGCACGCCGGAGGCGCTTCCCGTCATCCGCCAGCGTGCTTCGAGCTGCGAGATGGAGTGTCCTCAGGTGCCTTCGAATTCTCCGTTCTGAGTATGAGGAGTGCCCTATCAAGGCCCCAGGCCCTGGATTCCCAGACTCCACGGGCGTTTCCAGAGCTTCTCGCATGACCGTTCCAGGTGGCCTCGGGAGCGCGGTTCGGACTCCAAACTTCCAGCATGCTTTAAGAAGATGATCTCATGGATTGGCGGCGCGCACAAGGGGGTGGAGGGAAGCGGGGGCTTCTTAGAAGGAGGCTGCTTCTCAGAAGGCGCTGGCCTTATACCCATAGAGAAGGCCCGCGCCTTCCTAAGAAGCAGGGGGGCCTCTAAGAAACCCTCCCCCCTCCCCCCACCCCCCTTCTGCGCGTGGCTAAGTGGAGCCGTTCTGGGACTCTCTTGTGGCCTCTTGAGCCATCTTGGAAGCACCCAGGGGCGGCCCAAGAAGCCAGACACATTGCTGCACGATTTCCGCAGGAGGAGGAGGAGGAGGAGGAGGAGGAGGAGGGGGAGGAGGAGGAGGAGGAGGAGGAGGAGGAGGAGGAGGAGGAGGAGGGGCATCTTGGAAGCCAGACACATTGCTGCACGATTTCCGCAGGCTCGCCTTGTCGGTCTCACGGGCGTCCAAGGCGGCCTTAGAGGCCCCAAGAGAGCTTCGAGAGGGAGGAGTAGGGAAGGAGGAGGAGGAGAAGTAGGAGGAGGGGGAGGAGGAGGAGGAGGGGGAGGAGGAGGAGGGGGAGGAGGAGGAGGAGGAGGAGGAGGAGGAGGAGGAGGAGGAGGAGGAGGAGGAGGAGGAGGAGGCCTCCAAGATGAGAAATTCGACGCGGCTTTTGGGGCCTCGCGCACCAATATGGCCCCCGAGACCGCCTCCATGCCCCAAGATGTCTCCAAGAGGCTCCTGGAAGCCCCTCAGAAGTTCCCTGGAGGCCTCCAAGAAGCCTTCAAAAGGCCCCCAAAAGGACCCCAGGAGGCCTTCCAAGAGAGCCCGATAGGCCTTTCAGGAACCTCTTGCCCACGACCCAGGCCCGCTGGCGAGATGGGTCGACAGACTATAGATCCGCCACCCCCTCTGCTGGCAAAGGGGGGCCTGGCGTGCCAACGCCTCGAGCTGCTCTTGGCCCTCCCAAGAGGCTCCCGGAGCGGTCTCGGCCGATCCCGCTGGCCACCCGTGCGGACCAGTGCCCGTCGACTTTCCTGTCCAAGATGGACCTGCACGTGTCTCGGGCGCAGCTGCGAGTCTCCTTTGAGCTCACTTGATTCCCACGCGACTGCCTGCGCCCGGCCAACACCTGCTTCACACATCCTCCATCCCTCCTGCATGCTCCGTTCACCCTCCTCCCTGCTCCCTTTCTTCTTCCTCCCTCCCTCCCTCCCTCCCTCTTCCCTCCTGGCCTGGTGTCGGGGGCGGGGAGATTCACCAAACCTTGGCGCCCGTGCTGCTAGATACCGCGTGTTTCTGCCAGCAGCTAGTGAGTGCCGCACCAAGCTGACCGTCTCCTCGGCGAATCAGAGCGCAATCCAAATCCCTCCCTCCTCCCACTGTGGGCTCCTCCCGACTGCGCTCTTGGGTCTGCCCACCTGCCCGCCCGTTCGGGTCCGCCGTGCCCCGCAAGGAGCAGGACCCCCCCCGAAGCAGGTACGAGTGAGGACGAAAAGGGCTTGGTGTTGCACGCAAGCAGAATCGTTTGAATTCAATTTCAAGACAGTTTGTCAGTGTTTTTATGTTTCGGATCTATATTTAGAGATGACATTTTTTTAAAACATTTTTCTCTCTCCATTTTTGTTTTTTTTTCCCCCAGTTTTTACTCACTTAGTTCTTATTGTGAGAATCGAGGGCTCGGATCGGGGAGACGTAAGACTCGAGTTTGGAAGACTCGAGCTGGTCCGACGGGGCCATCAAGAACGTGACGGTGCCCCAACTGAAGTTCGGCGCGAGCTCCCGCGGCAAACCTCCCACGGAGACTGGACCGTCAACCTCCGGCACGGGCACGTCAGAAAGGGCATGCAAGCCCGAGCTCCGGCGAACTTGAGCCTCAGGTTTCCCCGATCGGAGTGCGGCGAGGGATATCTTACTAGAACCACGCGCGCGCTTCGCGCGCGCTTAGGTTCTAGCTAGGATCGTCACCGTCGTCATCATGAACATCACCATCGCCATCATTCCCCCCACCAGGGCTAATGTACATCGTTTCTGGATGCTTCTGGTCGGAATACGAAAGGAGTTTCTGTAGGATATCTTAGGCTGCCCTGAGAACGTCGGCGACAGCTGGCGGCCTCGGCCTCCGCCGAGGCCCGGCGGCGGCACAGCTCGAACGCCGAGGGTTTAGGGTTTAGGGCTTAGGGTCTATGAAGGGGCCCAGGGACACACAAATAAATACACACAAATAAAATGATTTCCCATATTTTCTCATATTTTCTGGATTTTTGTCTTCCCCCCCCACTTCCCATATTTTCCCATATTTTCCTGGGACTCGACGATTAATTGTGTCTGTGTGTTTCTTTTCCTCCTGAGTCTAGTCAGCAGTCGGAGAGTCCGCTTAGTCTTACGTTTCCCCGAGTTCCGAGTGGAACACGAACAGGAAAGAAACGCACTCGAGCAATGCGATCGGCGACCGCCACCACCGAGACCGCCGAAGGTGGCGATGAGTCTCGTGGCGGATCGTGCGACTGGGCGAGCGCCCGAGGCGGCATGTGCCGTCCGCGACTGCTGGGGCTCGGGCCGGTGGGCCAACTCGGCAACGCGCAAGAGTGCCCCTAGGCAAGAGTGACCTTTGGTGTGCGGCCCAGGGGGGGGGGCCTCTGGGAACACCACCAAGCGCGCCTGCCGCCTGCTGCTGTCGCATCGCATGCAGCGATCGGCGGGGGGCCCCACTGGGCCCGCACCACAGGGTCACTCTGGCGAACGGTCACTCTGACGTGTAGCCGACCAGCGACCGCGCGAAGAGCAATCGGCACGCGCGGCATGGATGCGAAAAACTGGGTAGTCGAAGCCAATCTGGCGCCAATCTGGCAGGCCCAATCTGGCAAACGGGGGCAATCTGGCGAGGGAGCCAACGCGAATCCAGTCTGGCGAATAACCCAAACCATCCAGTTTGGCCAGGCCAGATCGGCCCTTGGGGCCCAATCCAATCTGACAGTCTGGCCTTCGACTACCCAGAAAAACACGGGTGCGACGTCCAGCAGCACGCGTGGTCCAAAAACCGGCAGCGGCCTCCTGCTGGGCAGGCGACCTCTGCTCTGCCTCGGGCGGGCAGCGTCCGCGGAAACGCGCCGACAGCGAGTCCTCCCCCAGAGACGGGCCAGAGCTGCTGTCGGCCTTTGCCCCCGCCCTCTTCGCATAGTCGAGATGCAGTCAACGCGTATCATGAGGATGCGTGGTGAGAATGCAAGGGCCTTGGATGCCCACGCGAACGTTTTTCGAACGAGGTTGCCCAGCGGAAGCCGCTAAGGATGGGTCGACGGGGCAAGAGTGCAAGGGTACCCTTGGGAAGGTTGCCCATCCTCACTACGCGGGCTGACTGCATGGCCACAAGAACGGGAGTCAAGACAGGGCCCCCTGGCCAAGGCCCAGTGCCCCGCGCGGAGATGCCCGAAACGCAGAGCGTGCCGAGGCGGACGGCCTAGACACGGAGAGCATAAAAACGCACCCCTCCGAGTCTAGGGGGTCGCTCTGGACCCTCGTGCCCGCTCTGCCCGCCTCGGCCCTGCCGAAGCAGATCCCTCAGGAGGCGGGGCCGCGCCTTTTCCGCCCACAAGGGGCTGCCAGGCGTGGGCGTGCGGGGCGCCCGCGTGGGCAGCGCGCGCGCGGCCGGGGGGGGGGGCGCGCTGGCAGGCCCGTGCTGCGGCGCGCGCGGTGGTGCCGGCGGCGCGTCCAGAAGCTGCACGACGAGGAGGTGAGGCGCATGATCGGCCCTCGAACCGCCAAGCCCTCCTCCCTCGAGGATCGGGCCGGGGGAGCGAGCTCGACCCTCGAGGAAGAGCCCGAGCTTGCAGCAGCTGCGTCTCTGCGACGCGGCGAGGTGCTCCGTGCTGGTTCCCACGCTCGGGAATGGCCAGCCACAGGTGGGCATCACGAGACGTGTGCGGGTCCCAAAGGAACTTTCGATCGCGCGGGGCCTGGCATCGCCAGCACTGGGAGAAGCTCCAGATCGGAGCGAGCGCCCGAAGGACAAACGCATCACACTACAAACAACGACGATACAGTCAACCCGTTTCATAAGGACGCACGATAAGGAGACCCACGTCCACGTCCACGTCACGTCCACGTCCTCCGGGTCGGTGTCCGCGCGCGGACCCCGGGCCGACGAGGACGGACAGCTGCCGTAAAATATGTACAACCTGGGGCTCAACAAAGAGGGGTAGGGAAGCTGCCCTGACTGGCCCCCCCCCCCGGCCGGGACCCCCAACGACGACGAGGACGCCGACGACGACGACAACGGAGGAGGGGGGGAGGGGCGACACGAGGGAGGACAAAGGGCGGGGGAGGAAGAAGGGGAGGGGGGGGGTCCCGACCGGAAGGGGGAGCCAGCCAGGGGAAGAGGAGGGACGTCGTGTCACGATCGTGCTCATCGCCCAATGCCAACTCCGCACATGCCCGCACCACACCACACCATACACACATGCCCAGCACACAGAAGCATCCCGACCACGGGCAGCGCAGGCACGGACCCCGTGAGGGTGGCCGTACCAGCGGCGAGCACCACACACAGTGGCCCCGCTAGGTACATAAAGCGAAACGCCCTCCAAGGGGTCCGTTCGTCCAGCGAGGCGCAAACTGCCGTGGGTGATGTTCGCCCCCCCAGGGCCCAGGCCCCGGGAGGCCCGAAGGGGAAACCCCTCCCCCCGGGGCCCCGCCCAGGGGGGGGGCGAGACGATCGGGGCACCTGTCCGGATAGAGAGCTCTCGTGCGAGGCAACAGCAACACAAAGCGTTAGATCCCCGGCCACTTGTGTCATGCATTGAATTCGTACTTCACCCCACGTAGCTGGGTCAGCGCGGTACATCACCCCTTGTCGTTGTGCCGGCCGGCACGGTGGATTCACCCCTCGGAGCTGCGTCAGCTCGAAACAGAAATCACCCTTCGGAGCTGCGTGAGCTCGAAGAACTCACCCCTCATGGCTGCGTGAGCAAGCTCAGGAGTCTACGGCCACGGGGGCCGCCCCGCCGGCCGCTGGCGAGGCGCCGCCGCCGCTGCCGCCGCCGGCGCCGCGGCCGCCGCCGGGGCCGCCCCCGACGCCGCCGCCCCCGCCCCTGCGCCGTCTCCCGCGCCTCCTGGGGCCGCGGCCGGGCGCCGAAGCACCCCGTGGTCGGGGCCCTTCTTGCCCTTGCCCTGGCCCTTGCCGCCTTTGGCCTTGCCGCCCTTGGACCGGCCCCCGCCCTTGCCGCCCCCGCCCCCCTTGCCGCCGCCGCCCTTCTGGCCCTACTCCCTATCCGTCTTCGTCTTTTCAGCCCAGAGCAACAGCTGCCGCGGCGGCTGCTGCCCCGGGCCGGGGCAGGCGCGGGCACACCACCCACCGCGAGACCAGACGCCCTCCGAAGAGGGCGGTCCAGTACGCGCAGCTTGCTCCTCACGAGCCCCGCATCGAACCCTGGGTCGAGGACGAGGTTGAACCGACCTGGGAGGCGCTCGCGGCGCCCCGCCGCCTCGCTCCACCCGTCCTGGGAGTTCACTCCCAGGAGCACCCCGTCCATCGACAGCGTTTCCTCGATCGCCGCCAGGGCGCTCGATTGAGCCGCCTTCTCCACGTCGCCCTCCGTACTCGGGCTCAGCGGCCACTGCAGTCCAAGGTGACGGGCCACCTTGCTGCCGCAGCTCGCGAAACTGCTGCGCAGCCGCACGGCGGTTCCAAGCGGTCTCGCCGGCTCCAAGGAAACCCGCGGATACCAAGCGGGTGCCTTTTCTCGAGCCTTTCAACGCGGCTACGCAAGTTGGCGAAGCCGGCGTCCAGGCGCCCCACCGCCTCTTCCAAGCTGCCAAGCCGGCCGTTCACCTGGTCGCGACGCTCGGCGCGGGAGCTCATGGCTGGGCGGCGGGGCGCAGGGCGGGGCGGGCGGTCGGCCGCCGGGGGCGCTGTCCGAGGGGGTCGCTGCGCGGTGCTGGGCTTGAGCACGCGCCGCGGGTATGAAGTCCTGGACAGAATGATCATGATCCACCGCGTGACTGCAACGACGTCAGAAACAGTGTAAGCATGAGCACACCGTGTGGCTGGAGAGATAGGGGGAGTGGATGTAGGGGCCAAGAGAGGGACGTGAAACATAACACGACACAAAACATGATCCAGAAGCTGCACATAAACACTAGTCGCCACGACACCGACAAGCTCAGCCCCGGCTGCGTGGGGCGCGGGGGCGGCTGGCCACTCGGTAGAAACCGGCGGCCTGGCAGACGGAAAGGGCCCCCCCCCCCCTAAATGCCGCCCCCGGATGGTCGGGGGAACCCGCCATCGGCAGAGTGTGGTGTGGAAACACCAACACTGGCAGCGCAGCCGTACCGCCACGAACGTCACCACTACCGAAGGCCGGGGGGGGGGGAGGAGGCCGGGGGGGGGGAAAGGGAGGAACAAAGAAGGAGAACGCACAAGGGAAAAGGGCAGGGAAGGCCTGGGCCCCCGGTAGCTACGACGTATGTGGTTGTGATCCTGTCCCGCAAAACAAGCTTACGCCGGACAAAAGACCAAGCACACCAAACAGCCTTCAACCTTGAACGCGGGCTTTGACTTTGGCCTCACATAAACAAGGGGGAGTGGATGTGGAGGCCAAGAGAAGGACGTAAACACAAACACAACCAAAACACGAACCAGAAACTGCACATATTCACAAAATCACTACGACGCCAACAAGCTCAGCCCCGGCTGCGTGGGGCACGGGGGCGGCTGGCCATTCGGTAGAAACCGGCGGCCTGGCAGACGGAGAAGGCAAGCCCCCCCTAATTGCCGCCCCCGGATGGTCGGGGGAACCCGCCATCGGCAGAGTGTGGCGTGGAAACACCAACACTGGCAGCGCAGCCATTCAACCGCGAGCGTCGTCACTACCGAGGGCCGGGGGAGGGGGAGGAGGCCGGGGGGGGGGAGAGGGAGGACCAAAAGGAAAAATGGAGGAGGAAGGGGGAAGGAGGGAGGGAGGGATAGAGAACAAAGGCGGGAGAAGGGCAGGGAGGGCCTGGGCCCCCGGTCGCAACGACGCACGCGGATGTAAGCTTGTCCCGCAAACGCCGGACAAAAGACCGAACGCACCAAAACGGCCTTCAACCTTAAGCGCGGGCTTTGCCTTTGGCCTTACCTTTAGCTTTAGCCCGGACACGAGCCTGAGCCTTAGCCGACGCCAGGCGGGGCAGGCCCCGCGGCGCCTGGACGCGGGGCGTGGCCTTCCCCTTCGCCTTGGCCCTAGGCTTGGCCTTAGCCAGCCCGCGACCCGCACCCCTAGCCTTGAGTGCCGCCCTGGCAACGGCCGGGAGTTTAGGTGCCGCCTTAGGTGCTGCAGCGCCTGCCGGTGCAGCCGCGGCTCCCGCGGCGCTCCCCGCGCCCGCCGAAGGGCCGTTGCAAAATTTCTCATGAACCCCAAGAGCGCGGCTCAACATGCCTTCCGGCGCGGCCGGGAAGACCTTGCCGCACTTCAGACAAGTGCGATTGGCCAGATCGTTGCCCCTACATTTGGACTCGTGCGCGACACGACACGGTTCTTTGACTAGCATCCCGCACTTCCGACATTTGGCTTTCCCGTGAGGGATCGCCTGTCCCGTGGCCTGGCACCGGCGGACGTGCCAGACTATATCCTTAGCTAACACCTGCGCCCCACACTTTTTACACAAGTCCGTCTCGTTCCATGCTAAATCCCGCACCGCTGGCGGGGGGGCTGTGAAGCGACGCGACACGGCCGAGACGCGGCCCAACCGGCCAAACTCGGCGGCCCTGTCCGCCAGCTCATTATCATGTTCCCCGGTGTGGCCATAAACGTGTCCCCACGTTAAAGCACGTCGCGCTTCCACCTTTTCGACCACTTCCCGGACCGCCACTGCCAGCTCTTCATTAGATTCCGGCTCCCAGATACCCCTCGCCAAGTTGGCAGCATAGAAGGAATCGAACCGAAAATGCACCGGGGCGGTGCCGTCATCTGGGGCCTCCTCAAGCAACCACAGGCACGCTTCACCAATAGCCGAGAGCTCGGCGGTGTTATTGGTCCGGGTGCGCGCCCCCAGCCAGCGATGGTCCCACGCCTGAGTGATCGCAGGGGCGTGCAGAACGAAGTCCGGCACCGTGCCTGGAGTGTCGGGGCCCTCGTACCGGAAAATCACCGCCCCCCAGCCCGCCTCGTCGTCCTTGCCCGGACCACATCCCCCCCCATCTCTCCACTCCATAGCCAACTCCCCTCTCAATGCAATCCCTACCTTCCCTCTTACTACTAGGGTCCATTGAATTCCCCCATACTCATACTCCCGGACCCCGTTTTTATGGAAATCAAGATCGGAGAGCAGGCAAAATTGCCACCGCCGAGTGTTCAGCAGCGTGAACAGACATTCTGCCTTGAATTCCTGGTTCATGGCCTGATCGCCTGCCCCGAAAAGTCTGGTATTCCAGGCGCCCCCGGGATATAACGGGTGATGTCCTGGTGCTTACGTTTACTCCTACGTAGAAGCGACAAGTTGCGCATCGCCTGGGATCGTTTCCTAGCTCTCGTCCTCTTCCTAGCTTTCCTACGGTCCTCTCTGCGACGCAAATTCCTACATTGACAGCGTGTCCTACCTGCCGGTGTCGAAGGGTCCAAAGAGCACACTTCCAAAGGCCCCGAAATAAAACGTTCGCCAGCCGGCGCGCCTGGACCATGGGCGTCGCCGGCGCCGCTC